TTTTCAGATGAATAATTAATGTGCCTTTCTAGCATCAGGGGGTCTTTAATTAAAGCCTCTGTTAAACAAGGAAAGGCAGACAGGCCTGGCTCCTTGCAGCAGCTAATTGCACCTTTCCCATGTTCAGCTACGATTCAGAGAGAAAGTATTATTTACACCAATAAAGAAGGACAGATCCTACCTAGGGTGAGCGGTGGGCGGCTGTAGAGGCCAGCTGAGTGACCCCAGGGCTGAGGTGGTCTGCATCATGTTTTAAATTAGCTTGGCATACAGGCCAAATAAGGGGGTGTGGGGAAGAGAGGGTGAAGAGGGTTCTCTGGCCACAAGGCATTGAGGAGTACAGAAAGCCCCTCACAACCATCTGTGGATTACAGCCTCTTCAAGAGGGACATACCGACAGGGTTATCCAAGGTCTTGCTGTCACCGCATGATACATTTGCCTTCCAAAATCCTGTTCCGTATCATGCCTGCCTCCCTTTCAATGCCAGGAATGGGTTCACAGCAATGAGGCAGTGTTCACAGGATGGAGCAAAAAGGCAAACCGGAGTCTTCCCAGTACCCAGCTGCTCTCCTTATGCCCAGCATCCTCCACAGGCACCACTCCCTCAGCTGAACTTCACATCTGGACCCTTCCTTCCTTCTGGGGTTTCACAGCTGATGGAGACAGGATTGGCTGAAGGTTCATTGTGGACTTCAGCCAGAACACAGCATCCCCTCTCTCTCATGCCACGTGATGGTGAGACCAAACTTAAGCCCTCTGCCCTACAAGGACTGGGCCTCCCAGAAGGTCTGTGATTATTTTCCAAGAGAATGTATAAAACCATAATAGTTTCAGGAACTAGAATGGGAAAGTTAAGGAATGACAAACCAGTCCCAGTTAATACTGCTGAGGAGCTTCTAATACAATCCCAAATTTGACTTATTTAACTGCCATAGGAACAGCAAGTAAATTTCAAAACAGGGAACATTGTTATCCTTGAGAATGTCATCTAAACTAGACACCGATTAATTAGTTTTGACACCTGGGCAAAGAAACTATCCCACTTTTTTTAATTCATCTTAATCTCCAGTACCATTCTTGGTAATATTACAAATGAGGGAAAAACAGTCAGCTGAAACTTTATTTTTAAGAAAGGGTTAAATCTAAGGTAGGCTAAAGAGGTTCTCAAAGCAAGTATTTCCAAACACAGAAGCTAATAACACATCTCTTTCCTGCACTGCTGAAGACTGGACTGGTGGAGACCTTGATGGATTACCGAGTCCTTGTTGGTCATCTATGAAAGAGGTTTGCTTATCCTGTTGCCCCCACTTTATGAAGCCATACTGGAGGCACTCCCGTTCAGGAAACTTTGAGCAGAAAGACAATTCGGAAAGCGCCCCTTCAAGAAAGGTCTCACTGATGTCTGCAAACATCTTGGTTTTCAGGAAAGCCCCGAATCTTCGCTATTGAGAGCATGTGTCTTCTGTTTGCTCACACCAATGCTCTTGACAGGACTGACATGCCTGCGAGCTCAGCGAAGGTTTACTGCTGGGCTTTGCGGAGGCAAGCGCTGCCAGGTCTCGGAGGCTGCCGCACTCCGAGGCCCTGCGAGCAGCTGCGAGGCTCTGCTGCTCTCTGCTGGGAAATGCGGGCAGAGCCCGAGCTGCAGAAGTGCTGGGGGAAGAGCTGCATCTGCCAGCACACAAACGCTCAGAGCCACCTGTGCAAGCGCAGACACCTGGGTACAGGTGTCTCCTCTTCAACTTCGCTGCCAGAAGTACAGCCACATCAAAGTTTACTGCTACAGGAGCAGTCTAATGCACATCAGCAGCCCCAGCCATCTCTCTTCCCCTTGCCCTGTACCTCATACAGGAGCTGACTTTCTCCACTCTCTTGCACTAACACCTGCTGTCCTCCCAGCCTGGTTTTTTTTCTCAAAACTGTCTGGATCGAGAGCAGAACAATTAACCCACCACTGAGGTAAGGAACCAACGTGCAGGGCAGCCTCATTACCCCCACAGATGAGCAGAGATGTCTCTCCAAGGACCCCAAGCCTCTGCCTCACAGCCTGGGTTTTTGGTTTTTTTTGATCATTGTTCCGTGACCTAAAGCTGCTCTTTGTTCACCAGAGCTCAGGAAGGTTTTAACTATGTCTGGGTGCAACTGTGCAAAAGCACAGGTCAGAGAGTTTGGGGGCTGCAGTGTACAGAGAACAGCAAGGCCCCGTGTGTGGCTATCGACTGCGCTGCTGCAGCTCATGGGTCATGCGGCAGGTAAGCTCCCTGCCCCAACCACCATCAGCCTGGGGGAAACCCCAGCTCCGGACAGCAAATCCCACACAAAGGAGAGGAACAAATCACCCAGCCTGGTGCTGATCAAGGCCCTCTGCCCCTTTAAGCACTGACATTTAAATTTGCTGATATGTTTCATTCCATGCATCTCATTACGATTTTCAAGTAGCAGATGAGGCGACCAGAATTTGAGATAGGCACTTTCAGGATTTGGCTATTACATACGTATATTTACAGCTCAATAAAATAAGAAGAAATATTTAAAGCAAACAGACTGTGGAAAGTGATTTCTTCCAACTCTCCACTGCAGACTTGCAAGAAACCAATCAAAGAGGCTCAAGAGTGGTTTGAGCATAATTTATTAACCCAAAAAGGGCCGCATTGTTAACCAACGTTATTTATAGTGAGCAGCTCAACCATCTCTACCGAACAACTGTGCGATACTGCAGGGACAAATGCAGTGAGTTACTACAGAGATAGGACAAAACCAGCAGCATGTCTTTGTTACAGCTGTTAGAAAAAGCGTCCCCAGGAGACAGACACTGAATCTCTAATGGCTATCTTATTTCTCTGACAATTTATTTAAGTTTTAACTTAACAGCAGGAATGATAGCCACAGTTACACAGTGACTCCCAATAAAGGAGTGTATTGCTAATCTGCAGCTGGTGTTTTCTTATTTATTTCAAAGTCTTTAAGTTCCAGACTTAGCATATGGTGCCATATAAATAATGATATAATAATATGCTTTTGCTTTCCATGTGCCTCTATAGAAAAAAGCCATGTGATTTATCTTACATGAGCATTGTATTTAAGGCATTATTTTGCTCAGAATTTTTAATGCATTTAAAATGCATCTTCTGGTTTTTTTAATCTGTTCTTTTGAAAGAATAAACAGAGCAGTGATGTTTATTTAATAGAGTCATTCATCTTACTTCCCTGTGCAAAATCGTAGCTTTCCAGACCCAGCAGCCAGATCCCTGCAGTAGGCAGTGGGGTTGGAAATGGAGAGATCTGCTGTTTACCAATGAGGCACAGATGAAAGGAACACATGGGGCTCGAGATTTACCCACAGCACGACACTATTTGAAGCCAGCAGGCAGCTGAGAACTGCTTAGTCCCGTCCAGTAGAGGATAGAGAGGAGAAACCCATGGGAGAAGTCCTGCAGGGAGTTATGCTGTGGAGAACACAGCTCTGGGACAGCTCAGCACACAACCATCCTAACACAGAACGGATATCAAGATGCCTCCTTCAGATAAAACTGTATCAGCAGTTACCAAAAGCCAGCAGTCCCGTGCTGTCTGGAACCATCACTGTCACATGGAGAAATGGGAGGTGCAAGAAGGGATCAGAGAGGGAATGACCTGACATCCCATGAGTGCAAACAGAATGCTCCAGTGCAAGATGATCTAAAGTGGTCAGCATGGCTGAGGATATGGACAGCACTGTCATGAACCTGGTATTGGAGCAGTGAGGCAGCTGTTTCTCTTAAAATGCCAATGGTATAACCTGAAAAACACACACAAAGTGAACCGCTCTGAATGGAAGTGACACCTGTAAGTTTAGAACAGCTTTTGAAGTCCTGTATCTCTCCTCCTCTCATCCCCATAAGCCCCCATGGCATTTTCAGCCAGTTGTTTCAAACCCAGCTCTTGTCAGACTGGAGCATGAACCAGAATATGTCAGAAGCTGGTTACTGTGGTAACCCAGCAGAGCTTTTATCTTTATCCTTTCATCTCCTCTTTGGGGAAAACTGGCAGTCTGTTTATTTGCTTTTTCTGATGAAGTTCATCACACAGAACACAAACTGTCTGGATCTGAGTAAAACTGAGGACAGGAGAAAGTATCTCTCACATCAATGCACATGGAAATATTTCTCTTGGCACTCTACTACCCTACCTCTTGCTTCCCTGCTTTCCTGTACAAGCTATCTGACATGTCCTTTTCCAGAACCGAGACCAGAACCAGAACCAAAACCAGAACCAGAGCCAGGGCCAGGCTGAAGGTGACACCTTCACCTTCACCACCAGTGACATCCTGGCCTGTATCAGGAATTGTGTGAGCAGTGGGACCAGGGCAGCGATTGTTCCCCTGTACCCAGCACTGGGGAGGCCACTCCTCAAATCCTGTCTCTTCTGAATCAAGCCCATTTCTGGGTTCACTTCACTACAAGACATTGAGGTGCTGGAGAGAGTCCAGAGAAGGCAACGGAGCTGGTGAAGGGTCTGGAGCACAAGTCCTACAAGGAGCAGCTGAGGGAGCTGGGAGATGCTCAGCCTGGAGGAAAGGAGGCTCAGGGGAGCCTTATCACTCTCCACAACCTCCTGCAAACACACTGTAGCCGGGCGGGGGGTGGTCTCTTCCGCCAGACAACCAGCGACAGGAAAAGAGGACACAGTCTTAAGCTGTGCCAGGGGAGCTTTAGGTTGGACATGAGGAAGAGTTTCTTCGCAGAAGACGTGAACAGACATTGGAATGGGCCGCCCAGGGAGGGGGTGGAGTCACCGTCCCTGAAAATGATTAAGCAAAGACTGGACATAGCACTTACTGCCGTGGTCTAGCTGCCATGGTGGCGCTAGGTCATCGGCCGGGCCCGTGGATCTTTTCCCACCGCTGAACTCCGGGATTCCCGCCCTGGAGCTCCGCTCCGCAATTCCGCCCTCACCCAAGATGGCCGCGCGGCCCTCAGCGCCCGCGTGCCGCCGGCCGCGCCGCGCGCCGAGGCGCGTGACGGCCGTTACCCCGGCAACCGCCCGGCTTCCCGCGCCCACCCACCTCTGCCGGGCTACGGCGAGCGGCGAGCGGCAGAAAGAGCCGGCGCGGGCGGGGGGCGAAGCGCCCCCTGCCCTTCCCTGCAGAGCCGGGGGCAGGTGAGGGAGAGCCCCGGCCGGGAACTGCTCCCCCCGCTTCCCTGGCTGCACCCAGCCCCGCCTCGCCCTCTGCTTTTCCCTGCAGAGCCGGGGGCAGGTGAGGCAGAGCCCCGGGGGCAGGTGAGGGAGAGCCCCCGCCGGGAATCGCTCCCCAGCTTCCCGAACTGCACCCGGCCCGGCCTCCCACCGCCCGCCGCCTCCCTTGTGCCCGAAGCGAAGCCCGTTGGCAACAGCCCTTTGGAATTACACCCTCCTTCCCAGTTCCAGGAGGGTGAGCGCAGCTCCTGCTCCCCCTCGGTCCTCGCCCAGCACCCCGCTCCGGCAGCATCGAAGCAAGCGGGACTCGGGATGGAGGAAGGAAAGAGGGCGAGTCTGCCCGCCCTCAGTGTCAGGGCTAGGGACGGGCGTGTGGGGCATGGACACGGCGCAGGCCACGGGCAGCTGCTCAAGGGGCAGATGCCTAAAGCCTGCACAAATTTCAGCTGCTGCTGTCAGGGACCAAACCTGGAGCTGCACCTGCACTGTGTCCATGCCCCACACGCCTAAAGCCTGCACAAATTTCAGCTGCTGCTGTCAGGGACCAAACCTGGAGCTGCACCAAGGCAGCAGACCACAGTGCAGGCAGTGTGAACGTAAGAGGGCTCGCCAGGAGTCACGGGCAAGGAAAGGTCGTGAGTCGGGTCTGGGATCCATCCAAGGGACTTCCACAGACACAAAGCTACCTGCAATATACACTCAGACTCACCCTAGGAAAACTAGTCAGTGGGGATCAGGCACAGATACAACTGCTGCATAGTTCAGACCAGTTATGAAGGTTTGGGCCGGAGCTTAAGTAGAGTTTCTGTGATGATACAGAAGGTGCAGGTGGGGCCAGTCACAGAAATAAACCCCATTAGTGCATACTTTAAGTGTGGCTGCGGCATATTTGCAGAGGATGGAGTAATATGCTGTGTCTAGTCTGTGGAGGTAGATGTTTAAAATACTTTTGTTCTTTATCTGCTAAATATTGTAGCAAGGGTTCAACGATCATTCAGAATCTGAAGTGGAGGAATCTGAGGACCACACACCTACAGTTGAATCCCCACCATCACTGGATGACCTACCCGGCGTGGAAGCACCAGCATCTGCAGCCCAGCCATCTGTAGTGGAACTGCCAGTGTCTGCAGACCAGCTGGCTGCCAAAAGCCACCACGTTCTGATCACCACTTCCTGCTCATTGTATAGTCTGCATCCAGGGAAAGCTCACCTGAGATCAGTTCACCTGTGGGTGAACTTCAGGCTTTAAAGTCAAGATGCACACCTCTGAATCCACACAGGATGGCAGTAACACCGTTGAGACTGTGTTGTCAGCAGCAGAGATTACATTTGAATCATTGGAGAATCCAGAGGCTTTTGGAGACCCCTATCAAGTTGCCATGAATTATGTGGAGGAACATAAAATTCTACAGATATTTCAGGTAAAATACATATTTCTCATCTCCTTCCAGATACTTACATGAGGAGTTTGGCCTAAAGTTGGCTTGAACCAAATTATCCCTTCCCCAGACCCCTCCTTGTCCTGTGCTGTCTTAAGTATAGATTAAGAAAAAGCAGTAGAAAATTATCCTAGATAATATTTTGGTGTCTGAAGAGATTCTTGCTTTTTATAATGCAGATGGCATTGGAACAGGAAGTGCAGGCACCCATCTATCCAAAGATCAATAATTCTTTCCTCCTCACCCCTCCTTGTCCTGTGCTTTCTTAAGTATAGACTTAAGAAAAAGCAGTAGAAAATGATCCTAGATAATATTTTGGTGTCTAAAGAGATTCTTGCTTTTTATAATGCAGATGGCATTGGAACAGGAAGTGCAGGCACCCATCTATCCAAAGATCAATAATTCTTTCCTCCTGTTTGTCTCTGTCTCAGGAGATCACAGAAAAACTGCTGATCCATAAGCCTGATGACCCCTTGGAGTTCATATTGCTGGAGGTAGGGTGCCTTGCTGGGGCTCTGTGGGCATGGGGCCAGCTTTGCTGAGCACACCAGAATCAGCCCAGGACTGTTTCTCTCATTGTGTGCCTACTGTCTTGGGAGGAAGAAAAGCGCAGGCAGCAGCAGAGTGCCTGGGGTACATGGTCAGCCCAGGACTGTTTCTCTCACTGTGTGTCTACTGTCTTGGGAGGAAGAAAAGCGCAGGCAGCAGCAGAGTGCCTGGGGTACAAGGGACCATGTGTGCTCTGAGAGGAAGGAAAGGTATGGGAGGGTGGGGGAACAATGGAGTGAACGTGCCCTGGAATTACCTGAGAGGTGAGGGAAGCTTAATGACAGAGATCTTTGTGACCTTCTCTAGCTGCCTCTATTCCAGACTGGGAGGGAGCACTTTTTCTGCCCACACCCCCCTATTCAAGAGAGCTTCTCTGCTGATCCTGAAGGGTATTAAAACAGAGGTAATACAAAGTCAGTGAAGTGAGACAATAGTTTGGGAGTGTGTTAGAAGTGTGGGTTGTTTCTTGGGAGAAGGAGGAGGTTAGAAGAAAGAAAGCAGACAGAGTAAAAGAGTGAATGTCTTCCTTCATTGCCCTCTAGTCAGTCAGGAGAGGCACCATCTTTGAGGTTTGCTGCTGGGTTCATGGTGTACTAAGCACAAAACCTCCAGAGGAATGGCAAGTTCTGGGCATCAGTGTGAAAGCAAATAGGCTCCCAAATGACTCTTTTCCTTTTCCTTTTTCCCAGGTGCAGTCTATGATAAATGCCAGGCAAGCAGAACCGGAGAAACTATCGGAATAGAACAAAGATGTGTAGGTGTTTCTAGAAGAGGGCTTGTGCACTCCTTTTGGCCCCCATTGACCTTGGTGTCGTGGTATTGCCACACCATGCCTTCACAGCACCATGTAGTCATTAACAGTAACTTGGAAAAGATCTGCTTCTCTGTCTCTTGCCTTGTTTCTCTGTTTTGAATGTCTGTGCTTCCCCCTGGGTTTAAATCCTGCAGCTAAGTTTTGGTTTGGAATCACACTGAGATCTAAGTGTGCATGGATGTGCATGCATATATGGCACATCTCGAAGAGGCAGGTCTGCTGAACTTCTAGACATATAAATGCATAAATCTCATATTTTGACCAATCCACACTCTGCCTCTCTGTGCAGAGAAACCTCACAGCTCACACAATGCAAGGACAAAAGCAAGTAGAGTTAAAAAGGAGCCCTGGACAACCCACAGCCTTCTTTTTTCATGCTGCATCAGTGGCTTACTGTGTCCAGTTATGCATCAGCAGCACCAATGCCTATCTCGTACTTTGATAGCTTGTGTCCAGGCTTTCCCACTGCCCCCAGAGCTCCTCTAATGCAAGAAGCTGCCTCTCTGCCTCTTCCACACACTGGATACAGCTGTCTCACCCTTAATTATCCCTGCTGGACACTGATCACTCTGCTTTTTGGGGTGGCCCTGCCTGTATCATTGTAAGTACAGTGTATAACCAGAACAGTAAAGCAACAGTTGCACACACCCTTTATGCTTTCAGGAGACATTGTCACTCAGGTATGTGGGAGGTGAATAAAAGCAAACAAACCAAAACCAAGCACTGGTAGAGAATTAAGAATCAAGGTACATTTCGCAAGCACATTATTTGAACTGTGTTTGATTTTTGAAACACTTACAATCCTTATTTTCATACTATCCAAGTGTCTGCTTCTACGCTGTAAAAAAAACCCTTTTTCTTTCTTTTTGTTCTCTCTTGCCTGACAATTATTGAAAATGTGCAACAGAGCATACTGTTATTTTGGCTTAATAGATTGTCTTATATGCAGTAGATGCCAGAAGGGGTTTTTATGTCACTACAGGCTTTTCTCTTTTTTAGGCAAGCGCTCTAATTTCCTAATGAATGGTGGTGTATTCCCAAATGACTGTTTCTATGGCTATGAAGAGAGCACCATAAAAACTTCCATCTATCTATTTTTAAAAAAAATAATGTGTGATGATTGGGTTGTGTCATTCTACACAGCACAGCTTGGGTGCCAAAATTCTGGGAATAACAGAGGGCAAGTATTTGGCATACAAATTCCATGTGTGAGATGAGTTTCCTTTCTATGTGAGTTTCTCAGAAAGGATCAGTTAACTCATGTCTTTCAAGACTGAAAACAGGTAAGCACCCCTGTCATTCATAGGGAAGGGAGTTTTTCAAGGTTATTGTGAGCCTAAGGATGGCTCAAGATTCAGACTAAATCTTCATTGGTTTTATAAGAGTTTTAATGTAGACTTAGGCATCTATGTCCCATTGCAGCAGTGAGATGCTTTTGCAATCCCTACTTATCTCCAGCAACTGGAAAAATCTGAGATTGATCTGCTGACTAATTCTTGACCAAAAATGTATCAGGCTGAAAAACAATGCATACATGCCCTGTCCTAATGTATCTCTGTGGAACAGGAAATGTATGGAAGATGAAGACAGTGTTTGAAGCCTTCTCATCTCTGGTCATTTGTCAGCACATTGTTCCAGGAGACAGAGAAGCTGACATGTCTTTGAATTTTGTTGCAGGGCAGGATTAGGGTGCCTTGGGGTACAGCCTTCACTGTGTATTTCCTGTCTCTGTCATTTGGGTATTGCAGTTTGTTTTTGTCTTTTGCTTACGAAAAGCTTTTGACCTGTAATATGTTCTCAGACTATAAGTATATGCCTTCAACTTCATGTCAGCATTAAGGGAGTTATGCAAGGGAAGATCCTTAATTCCTCTCTCAGGCAGGATGAAATGAGCTGGAAAGCAGTCTTCTTACTGGTGACAGAAGTTTTGCAAGAGAGGCCATACCCAGTGTTCCTCAATAATCTCAGGGCCACAGTTTTCCTTTGGTGGCCTGGCCACCTCATCTCATGCTAACAAAGCTGCTGTGTGGCAGCAAGAACTCCTCCCCAGTGCACATAAGAGAGAGCATCAGTCTTGTCTGTTTCTCAGAAAAGAGAAACAGTGTTTTCTGTTCTTTTCTCTCTATTAAGGAAAGGTCCTTCTCCTTTGAGGAGCAGTTTTCTAGAGGTGAATGAGGCTGTACCCAGGACAAGTTCTGTGGGCCTGGAGTTGGCGTGTGTAGATGGCATGAGACTGGGGAAGGCAGTGGGCCAAGGGAAATCCTTCAGCATTCAGAGTTGGGGTGGGGGGGATATAATCTCTGAGCAAGGACTTTGATCAGAAATCTTGGGGTGCTTTCCATGAGCTAAGGAGAAATGCCACCTCCTTCACCTCAAGCTTCTCAGATGATCAAACTTAATTTTATTAAAACAAAAAAGCATCCTCCAGAATGTTTGCAGATTACAGTGTTTAAGGTAGTGTCACACAGCTGTATTTTTTATCTGCTTCAGACTTATTCTGATAAATACACTCTAGCTCTAGAAAAAAAATCTACTTCACATTGAGGCATTGCTGTTTGTGTACAAGAAGGCTTTTCTGTGCTGAAGAAAAGACGAAAAGTTAGATTTAAAATGGAAACTTTTACTGTAGCCTTAATTGTAGAGTGACTGTCCCTTTTCCACAATTTCTTTCCAAAACCATTAGATCCTTATTTCTTCTTTGTAAATGGACATTTATCAACATAACATTAAACTGTCATTAAATTTCTTGCCTTGAGTGCTCAGAAGGAATTAGCAGTTCCTCGTGTGTGACCGAAACTCTTCCATATAAGTCCTTACAGCACACTAGTCACAGCACATTTGAATGCCCTCCAGAGTGCTAAGCAACGTGACTAACATCTGCTGTTTGCTGTTTCTCCCCTCCACAAGGGAAATGGCTGTGCACTGAAGTGCATTCTTTTAGAAAGGGTGGTTTGGGTTTTTTTACCACACCTGTGTATCTCTGTGTACTTCTAATGGATAAGTCATGAAGTGGAAGGTGTGGAAGTTGGAGGTAGTTTGTAGTTCCCAAGGATGATTCCTCTGCAGTATGAGCTGGGTACTGAGAAAACACATTATTTTCAAGGAAGAGATTTTTTTGTTCATCCATGGACAGGCAGAGAGGTGCAACACCCAGTTAATCTGCCAAATGGCATGGTGTTATGGTGCCCAGACTCTTTCTGTTGTGAGCCTTGTGCTCCTCCAGAGGCAGGAGGCAGAGGAGCCAATCAGAAGGAAAGTGCAGTCCTTGTAAAATAGGTCTTTTGGACCAAAACATCAGTTTCTTTTTTCTGCCATCTCTGTATGGAACTTGAAAAGACTCAGCTGCCCCAAGCAATACTGAAGTTACTGTGTACTGCTTCTAACCAATGGAGAAAAAAAAAAAGTGGTAACAGCTGAAAAAAGTTGTAACAGCTGATTAAAAATCCTTTGAAAAGTTCACATAGCCTCTGCTCTGGTTCTTAGGTGGAGGGCACAGGCAAGATCTCCCTTCAATGGGCAGCTGCTTACAGCATGAGGCATTTCATTGTGACTCACTGGATATGAATCACTGCTGTATAACACCAACTTTAAGCTAGTTAAATGCCATTGATTTCAAAGTTTCACAATCGTAGTAGGCAGCAGCAACTGCTTTCATGTCTGAAATGGAAGAAAATTACCTCTGGGTAAAGTCCAGCAAAGAGCTTAGCTAAAGAGAGCTCCGGCTGAAGACTGGAGAATGTGGAAGTGCTTGGAAAGGGAATGTACTGAGGCAAATTGATCAAACCCTGTCTGACATGCCTCCAGGTTGTATTCCCGAGAAAGCTTCTCTTCACCATTCTTTCATCCAGATGAAATGCAGGAGAAAATGAAGAAACATTTCCTTAAGGTCAGGCATTATTATCCATGGCTGCATTCCTTTTTTGGGGACTGTCCTTATGGACAACACTGATGTAGCAGCATCACCAAAAGCTCATGGCCACAGTTTGACATATAATAATTAAAAGAAGGACTTTGAGTTGTTGAAGAGACATAGGTTGGATGAACAGTCATTCATCATCTCCTGGAGGAAGGCTGGAATGTCACTGCAGAACAGATGAATTTAGGCAAAGCAGATGCAAGAGATTTCTGTATACATCATTCAACACTGGAAACTGACTGTGGACACCCCAGTAGTTGGTCTGCTTTAGAAATTTCTGGTATGAATGAATGGAGTGGCTCTTCTCACTCACAGCTATCATCTCAATTCCCCATGCAACTCCTCTCACAGATGGGAATAGCTCACCCTCTTTTGTCACAGACCCTATTGTTCTCAAGCACTAGGAAGGGCATCTCCATGGCTTATTCATCCAGGAGTCTGGGGTAAACTGTCTTCCAGGGCACAAAAAAGGAGAAACTGGTTGGTGTCATGTCATAAACTGCAGTGAAATAATACCAGGAAAGAAACAATGAGATGGACTAATTTTTTTTTTTGACATTGTTACTTTGAGACCAAAATGAGCATCTTTTTCATTGTCAGTAAACAGAAAATAGGTGGAGGAACATAGGACTGCACAGAGCCAGACTTAGGAAGGTGCACAACTATCTAGTGCAGTTCTCAAAATAAAAAAGGAAGCAATCGGGAGTGCAACTCTCAGTTCACACTTGCCATGGAAACTTCATTATAAGTTTACAAGTCTTTAAGGCAAATGCCTTATTTAGAATCGTGTGGTCCAGCCTTAAAAATTATTATTAACTGGGAGGCAGGATCCATGTTAGGGTTAGAGAGTTTGTAAGGAAAAGAGGTGACCTCTGTCCTTCCTCCTTCCTGTTGCTCAGCTTAACTTCTAGCATAAAACAGGAAATGGGTGAATAAAGGCATGTGTAATACTGCAGTTGTTTGTTAATGGAAAAAACAGGTCATACCAGCCTTTGAAGAAAAACAGTTCCCACCTTGAGGAGCTTTTGGAGTTTAGACAGGTGAGTAGACATTAGGGAGAAGGCTGCATTGCATGCAGGCAAATGGTCAGAGACTCAAAGGTTTTTAACAGTGTCTCAAATTTACATAAACATCATGAACACCGAAGTCCCTCTGAAGAGCAGATCAATCCCACTATTGTTTATACAATATATATAAGTATATCCTTGGGTCTAGCATAGTATCCTGCCTCTTTTTAAGGAGATTAGTGAAGGACAGCATTGCCAGTTTGTTGAAACCCCACAGTATTGAAAGCAAGCACTGCCCATTGGAGAACCCAGCTTTTGACCCTGTTATCTAAATCCTTGGTAGCACAAGAGAACTATCTTGAGAGACTCCTTGACCATGGTGTGAAGCCATGATGATAATACATGTTTGCCTTGGCAGATAGCAGCACATATGGGAGAAGTTTAGCCATAGCTCCCTATGTTTTGCCCCATTAGATGATTAAATCTTTGTAAATGAAGAGCAAAGCCCTTTAGAAAGGTAGAAGCTGAGCTAACTTTTCCTAGTTAGCTTCCACAGACCTCTTAGTAGTTGTTCTAAGCCTTCCTGGCTTTTCAGAATTCACATGTGGAAAAACGGTGTTGGAGTAGCAGGTTAAAAAGCATCTTGAACTAAAAAAAAAACAACCAAACACCAAAAACCAGAATAAAACATAACCTTGCCTACGTGTGCCCATGAGAGGGCAGCACAGACCGGCTGAGCCTTTGCTAAAGGCTATTCAGAGGCCTGAGTTTACGTTCCATGGAGTAGCTACAAGCAGAGGCAAAAATACCTGTGTAGAAGGGCTAGATGGCCTCAAGCACAAGCTCATCCATCGTCCACCTGAAACTGAAACCCAGGTACAGCTCGGTACAGACTTGACTGGCTCAGACCCCAGGTGCACGGCAGGGTCTGAATCTCACAGATTTCTCAGGGTAGTTTCCCGTTAGGTACTGGAACCTTGACAGAGTTTCAGTGGAAGAATTTTGGACAGTGCCCACAGTTCTGTTAAAGCAGTGAGTCGGTGTGAGACATCAACCACACCCTTG